CTATCTATGTCGCATGAGAGACCTTCGCCAAGCAGTATACAATACACTCAGAAAAGTTTTGAATCAATGAGACTTGGACGACAGAACTTAATGATAGAAAGAATAACAATTCATGGATTAGAAAAAAGAAACCTACACATTTTATTGTAAACTCTGAGCTGCTCAAAGTCAGGGCATGGAGAACTCACAGATCGAATTGGAATTCCTAGTATTGGCTTTTGCGAACTGAAAAAGAGATCCTGGAGAATAGCCCTTAAAACCATGATATAGATCTAACACACTGTACTTACAAGTGGAGCCGGGTCCAGGGTCCGGTTGTATAAGAAGGATGGATCGCGCTATCCGACAGATAAATCTCATCCATTGGATAAGTTTATTGGATAACAGCATCGACTTATCCACTGGGTAAGATTTATCCTTTGGATAGCGATATTTACTTTTCGTACAACCGGACCCAGAAGTGGAACTTGGGCAATTTACACAATAGCGACCTTAATATTTGCCAACGATCAACGACTGCATCGTCATCCGTGAGTGAAAATAGCATATTTTGGGGTTCTGTTCATAGGCGATTTCATTCACATAGTTGTCAGTAAAGTCAACTCATCCACAGAAAAGACAGACTTCAAAACTGCGAAACCCTAAAAATTGCAGTTATTTGCCGTCGTAGAATTTGCAAACCTTCAGGTCGCTGATAATGCATGCGATTTTTGCCTCAATTGTAGTTTTGCAGCTGAGAGAAGACGTGATAAATTCACAATTGGGTACACTACACTAGATAAACAATGATAACGTTGGCTGTGAGGTAGAATAAAGTGTTGCGACAAAGAAATGAACATTAAAACTAAACAATAAAATGGAACAAAAATGACGCAAATAAACATGCTATTATGAAAAAAAGCCCTTGGGCACCGGAAATTGAAATTTCTTCCACAAAAGTATTATAGAAAACGAGGACAATGTTAAGAAAATGACGGGGCGGATGCTACGACAGAGATGAGACAACCTACGCGGTTTAAGGACGTAAATACGTACAGATGCTATAATTAAACGGACATACTCGAGGCGTGGACATGACAATGAGGAGGTCATATTAACAAAATGATAGGATTGAGTCTGATACGAAGATGAGAAATAGATGGTTTATAAAACATTGCCATTTAGAGTAAAAGAATTCCAAGAAGAGAAAAGATTTTATAAAAGATACCCCTTTGGTGACTCCCAACGCTTTTGAAACATATTTAGACGTTAACACTCGAATAACGAAAGACATTGTAACACATATCTCAATAACTTCAGTATACATCAATGTAAGGATGCTTTAAGGTGCGAATACACGGATCAATTTTCTCTCTGCAAACTGTCTCGCAGCGGCGTTGCGACGCAAATTGCAGAGCATTGCAGCGTCTAACTTATACCGCAATTTGAAAAATGTTGCGACACAAGATGCAGGAATCGGCGTCGCAAAAATTAGAATTCGTTTCTACTTTTGACAACTATTGTGTCTTCGTTGCACCGTGTAGGCATTTTGCTTCGTGTGAACGTGCCTTTACGGTTTTGTCGAAGCTGGAAAGGTTTATTGAACATGGCGTTCAGACTACATCTGTAGCAGTCATCATCGGAATGATGAGGAAGCGAACCTAAAGATGCAATCGAAGTGTTTAAAAGCGTGGTAAATTCAGTATAAACCAAACCGTTGGAAGTTGGAAGAACAGATAGCAATCGTTAAAAATGATAAGCTAGAACTTATGTATCAGCTGCATGATTTAATCCAGTTTTACTTTATCCAATGAATAACAAACGTTTTAAATTAATTTTAGTCTTTGAGCTTTTGATCACAACAAAAAAGTATTTCGCGTTGTGATCAAAATACAGTTCTAAATTGTAAGAACTTTATACATCTGGCCAACACAGATGAATATCCATAATAGACCAAACGTTTTGTATTTAAAAAGACTCGGCAGATTTTCATCTGGAAGGATACGAAAAAGCTTTATTCAGTAATTTATAAATCTTATATTTGTATCCAATTAATTATTATTTTATTACATCTTATATATTATCGTTTTCCTTTGTGTGTTTGTTTATATAAACATCATTAATTATAAACATCAATGATTTACGAACAGTTTCTTTTGCTTATTGATTTTGATATATATTTGTCGTATAGCCGACCCCGTCGGTAGAGTTTGTTGAATGCACACCTACTACTGCTGTAGTGCTTTCGTGTGGCTTGTGGTTATTGTTGGTTTTCAGTCATTCCCAATTACCCAGAAAATGAAATAGCAAAAGACACGGCGGCCATGTTGGATGACTATAGCAAAAGAGACTAACGACCAACCTTTTGATAAATTCATACAACATGGCGGCTGTGAAGACCATCGATATACTTTGCCTTGAGCCTGTAAAGACTCTTGTACATTAATATTTGTCACCACCGAATCGAAATATGGCGACCAATAGGCCGCTCCGTGATGGCGCCATTTTACTACTACTACCAAAATACTTCGCAATTTTTTTCTTATTGGTGCTTTGGTAGTGGTAGTACATGACAACATAATGAAAGTGACCTATTTGAACTAAACTGAACTCAACTCGGTCGCCATATTTTTAATTTGGTGTCAGTACACGTTACATGTTTCCTCTTCGCATTTTTTGCTAATGTTTTGTCTTCAAATTCGTACTGAAGAGTAAAAATTATATTTGAACCGCAAGTAAAGGATACCTATAAAGCGAGCGAAATAACTAAATCCGAGTCGTAGCACACGTTGCAGAAGCATGGTTGATAGAGGGGACTGGTTTGGAAACCCGACAAACTCCAAAGGCCCAGAGTTCGAGGTTCAATAGTACCATCACGTGACAATCACTGCGTACACTCTTTAGCAAAATTCCAAAACGATGTGGCGAACGGCAGCAATCTTCTCCTCTTTGGCGATGATTTTGACGCGTTCTGAAGTTGAAATAACTTAAGCATAATCAACTGGTACCTACGTAAGATGTACGTTTTATACTGGTCACCATACTCAAGAGAATGAGTAAGTTGTAACAGTTTTAATAAAATCAGCTATCTGTTCTCTCTGTAGTCTTCTTTCCAAAAATTCTTCGCATGACCGTAATAGCACCTTGTCTAATGTCTTTCAAACGCCATAGATATATAACAGGGTTCATAGTAGAATTAACAAATACAATCAATTCTCCCATTGTCATGCATTTGTAGTTCAACATTCGAAATTGACTGTGAGACGCGTTCGGCACGACTTTGTAGATGACAGCCGTCATAACAAGAGCACAAAAGTACGGAAAATAGAAGAAAATTATTATCATTAACATTAGGAGCATTGTATTTAAAGATCGCTTGAATCTTGAGACTCGAAAGATTGAATTTGCGTATGGCAGGCGAGGAGGAGGTTGGAGAGAAGAAGGTTGAAGAGAAGTGGGTTGAAGGGGAGGAGAAATCTGAGATTCGTCGGTATTGATCCTGCTTCCAATATTGTTCGGGGTAACCGGAGACGTTAGCTTCCTCAGGCTGTAAAAAGACGATGCGTAACAAAATGTTAACGTTCCAACAAGAACAAACAAATAGACGGAAAGGATGATGACCACTTTATCAATGTAGCTGTTAATCAAAACCGAGAAACAGCAGGTTGACGTCCAGAATCCTAGAAGAACTGCAAATACTCTTTTCATTGTCACCACACTTCGATAGCGTTCTTTGAGTTTAATAGCCAACAAACGATCAACGCTGATTGCAGCAAGAGTATTAAGAGACATGGCACCCATCGTATACCCAACAGCTCTTCCAATGATCCAAATATGACAAAAAAGCCACGTCCATTCCTTTAGAGCTGCGATATTTGTCAACGCCATTAACGGCTCCGCGATGAATCCAACTACCAAGTCCGTTATGGCAAGATTGGCGATGAGGATGAACGAAGGTTTGTGCAATGAAGGCGTTTTCCAGATTGAAAAAAGGACAAGCGAATTCAACGATGTTGCTGCCATTGCTGTAAAGAGGTAGGTGGTAGATACTGCCACTCTGTATGTTGGTATAGTTAAGTTAATGACATTGAAGTAACAGCTTTTGTTCATTCTTGAAGCACAGCGTTCGCCAATAAATTTAGTTAGATTTGAAGTTCACCTCCAAACGTGTTCAGTTGCAATCTAGATCTCCTCAAAACATGCTAGACGTTTCTCGCAATTAAAAAGAGAACACTGCCAATACTACTACTATAGGTTTAAGTGGTTCGATTAAAATATCAAATCACCAGATGGCATTCATAAAACCCCTTTCAGTGTTTCGTCGCCTTTTACCGCCGTTGTGGCTGAGAAGACTTTTCCATTGGATGTCAGTAAGTGATTTAACTAAGTGGGACTAGGTGATCATCAACAATGGCATACATAATATGTATAGATCTATAAATTTTCTCAAAGCTATTTTCATTAACCATCTGCACAAACAACCCTCGGGGACACGCTAAGACGCCAAATGACTGACTTTTCAGTTTTCCAAGATCTTCAAGACTGAAGAGATCTAAAATGGATGTGGCATGAGTCAAAATATTGGAAAATACCAACCAACAAAAAAATTAATTGTGAGATTAACTAAAAATATCCCTATATCTAAACTGACATATGAATATGCATATAATATGAAATGTTTTGATAAGATTATTCATAAAGCGATAGAAAAACACTAAAAAACAGACAGTCAAGGATAGGCTTTATATCAAACGTTTTTTTTAAGGGCTAAAAGATGGCTAAAATTTTACTTAACATTCTTTTAATTGGAATAATTAAGATATAGCTTAGACTGGACATCCCTGAAACGTTTTTGCGTAATTAATCAGAATATAAGAATGTTGAATATCAATATTTATGGTGCGTAGGTAATTCGTATCGAAAATATATTAAAAAAACGACTTTCTTTTCAATGAAATGAAAAGCAGTTTTGGGAACGATTAAGAAAAGTCAATTTTTGTAATAAAAAAAAAGAATTTCAATAATAGATACTATCAGTCTATTTCAGTGTTGTTGTTGGTGTTTTTTTTGGACCCGGAAGTACGTCATAACTTAAAAGCTCTATTGATATTTTTGATCCGGAGGATGTGATCATGCAGGGGGACGGAGCTACTTTAATGATGCTAACCACAGGAAGTCTGAGGCAGAAATTCCATAAAACATAAACACAAAGTAAACACTGTCAGGAAATTATTTTTTTCGTGACAAATATGCGGTTTTTTTTGTTTGTCCGGAAACGAGTCGATAAAAGATGCCTGAAAGCCAATTCCAAACGACAAGTCATCCCGCTGACCAGTACATAGGGTACCGGAGTGACGATAGCACCACAAAATGAAGATTGAAAATACTGATTCGATTGTAATAGCGTTATTAAAAAGCCAAAGTCAAAATGAGCGTTCTCGGAAAGTATGCGCCGCCTATCAATGATGTGGTCATGGATTTGATCTCCGTTCTCAACACCATCATGATAGTGCAGTTTTCGTATGACTGTGAAAAGCTCATTGCCGTAAGCGTGAGGTGCCGTGACCTTGATGCTTTCTAGAATTTTAATTGGCTGATTTTTTTACCCGCAATGTGATTGGTCTGGCATTGCCGTCACTTTGGCGTGAGCGTGTTCCGGGTATTTGATTGGATGGAGAGTAAATTCTCGTGCAATGTGATTGGTCTGGCGTATCCCTTGCCGTGTTTGTGCCGTGAATTTTTCACAGTCATACGAAAACTGCACTGTGTCCAATTCACTTTATTTCTTTAAAAGTGCCTATAACACCTAACTCAATATATTTACAGCAAAATTCTAAATTACTATTATCAACGCATAAAACTCAGAATATTAAAACGGTGACGGTTAGAGCTGACAGTTACTTCTGACGAAGATGACTTCTTTTTCTCAAGAATAACAGTTCTTAGAAATGATTTTACAGCTTTGTGGAGATCCTTCCCATAATAATAATAATAATAATAATAATATAAAGAGGCTTGTAAAGCGCCTATACAAGCCGGTTCTAGGCGCTATATATTAAAAAAAAAAAAAAAAAAAATTAATAAATACCCCATAAGTACAACTGAGACTACAGGATAGTGGAATTAGCAGACACTCACAATATTAGAACGGTTTGAGCTGACCGTTAGTTCTAACAAGACTCGAATTCCATTCTTTACAAATAAAAGTTCTTAGAAATGATGTCCCAGCTTCGCCAAGATCCCTCATCTGCAATTTGAAGCACAACCAGCCAGATAGGACTGTGATAGTCGAGTTAGCAAACACCCACGACATTAGAACGGTTAGAGCTGACAGTTAGTTCTGTCAAACCTGAATTCCTTTCCTTACGAATAACAGTTCTTAGAAATGATTTCACAGCTTTGCGGAGATCCCTCATGCGCCATAAGTACAGGACAGGATTGATAGTCGAGTTAGCAAACAGCAAAAATTCAGCCCAAACAAGAACGTGGTAAATAAAGACATCGTCGTCTATCTCATTCGAAAAGGCCACACGTACGACCAGTGCTATGAAATATGGAGTATAAAAGGCCATTACTGTAATCAATACTAAAATCATCGTTTTCAATGACTTTTTATATTTTGAGACATTAAAAGTGGAATTCTTTGAGGTCTGCTCATTCGAACCTTCTGGTACAATTTGGGATACTAGCTCTCTCAATAATTTTGTTGCTTTGTAATAAGAAGTCGTTGTGATTGATAAGCCACATGCCATAGCTGTACAAAATAGAGCTATAAGGGTTTTTAACTTCAGCTCACTCAAAAGAAAAAAGTAAAAACTAGATATTCCACTAATTATCCACCAAAGGAATAGAACAGCTGAAACTCTCTTCGTTGTGACTTGATTTGCATAGGACACTTTGAGTTTGATGGCAAGGAACCTATCGATGCTTATAACTGTAAGAGTAAAAGCAGATACTGATCCAAGCCAGTATGTTAGAGTTTTGCCAACTGCAGCTATGGAACACACCGCATCAAACCATTTATCCCTCTTTAATATGAACAAAATGTCTTTTAAAACGATTAATGGCTGGCCAACAGCACCCAACAAGAAGTCCGCGAGTGCGAGATTTGCTATTAGGATGTGGGATGGCTTGCGCAGAGAAGGAGTGTTCCAGATGGATAGCAGGATTAAGGAATTCAGAATCATCGTTGAAATTGCTGTCAGTGAATTAGCAGCAAATAATGATGATCGAAAAATAATACTTTCGCTTCGAAGAAGAAATTCAAACCTACAGGACGCAGTTGAATTTGCCATGATGAATTTTGTGTCTTGAAATTGCGAAGCGAATGAACATCGATAACCACTAACTTCTTTCAGTTCTACTGGAAACAGGTGCAAGACTGAGCAGACGCAGTGAGTCAGGGTTTCAATCAAATTTCATTAGCCACACATCAGTCTAATTCTAAACAGATAGAATCATGTGAAACTCAAAAGATTGTTATAAAAACAGCCAATTACAACCTAGTGTGCTCTTTTCAGGTTTTTGGAGATGATATTAAGAAAACTATAATTAGAACTGGCCATCATTGTCTTCTTTCAGTCTTTCATTCATTCGCTCTACAGATGTCATGCGAGAAATCTTAATCATCTTTTTCATCGAATAACCTAGTATGTTGAGTGTTTTCTAACACTTATTTCCTTTCACATATTGTTTCCATTATGTACTTCTCGTACTTCTAAAGCTTTTATGTTTGTTTGGACAGAAAATTTTTAGCCCTTGAGGCTTGAAAAAAAACCTGTATAAGCCGTAAATATATAGCTGAAATTAATCAGTACATCTAATACTTTAATTTCTGTCATAATTGGTGCAGTTTAGATAACAGTCCCAGTATTTTAGAATTTTTAATCAAAAATTGCCTTACCCTACCCCCCAAGTGCAAAAATTGACCCCCCTGGACGAATTCGAGGTGGGTCCATAGCTGAAATTGATCAGCACGTCGAATAGTATAATTGTGCCAAATTTGGTGCTTTTACCTCAAAGTGCACAATTATGTCACTTTTTTGAACCATATTGCTGGACTATAATAAGGGTACAGAACATTGAAAAGTGACTTTTATTTGGTAATTAGTTTGCTGTGTATTTCTACAAAATCATAGTGTTAGAAGAATAATTTGAAAAAAGCGCAAATAAAAGAAGCTGAATTATCTCCATAAAACAGGAAATTATATTTTACGTAAGCTGTATGAAGTGTAAAAACTTTATCGCGTAAACTTAAGATTTTTTTTTCCATGGTCAAATTGTTTTAAAATCATGCATGAGTTTTAAAATCATTTTGGCACTAGAAAGAAAGGCGCTATAAACCGGCTGCCTAACTTTAACTAGTTACACATCGTTTCGTTCAGTTCTGTACAAGTAGCTAAAAAGAATCACCAATTTAAAATTTAAAAAAAAATTGCTCACCAGTACAGACACGTGACCGTTAACTGCAAAGGGCCTATTGGAAATCCAGGGACGCGTAGCATTAATCCATTCTCCTCTCACCTCTAAAGTCTCGATTTGGATGTTAGGTCTCTCCCTTGATTGGAGGGTTTTTCTCCCTTCGCAAAATCTAACAAAATCAGCTCAATTTGATACAAAATCTAACAAGCTGAATTTCAATGTAATCTGTAGCTGTGCCTTGACTTTGATCAGCCCGGACGTCGTTTCATGGTAAAACTCGAAAGGTTTTTTTAAGGTCAAAGAGAGAAAGTGGTCGCTTCTAGCCTGGTCCGATATTTGCAAGTGGTCACGTGACTTGCACACGCATCTAACCACTTACTGATTCCTTCAAGACGTGCGTTAGACTTGTAAGATGCTCATCTAAGGAAGTATGGGTGTCGAAATGACTATCGCAAACATTACATTTAGAGGACCTTTCCCTTGTGTGGTGCCTGTGTGGAACCACCAAGTAATGTGTCTTTTGGAATTTCATGTTACAAAACGTACATTCGTGTGGCCGCTAATCCGTGTGAGAGAGAAGAGGAGTAGTAAGCGCAGTATCAAGCGAAAGTTTGAATTCCATATGGCAGCTAATATACGTACAGCGAAATGGTCTTTCCTCTGTATGTACGCGCAAATGAGAAACGGAATTCGACCTCTTTCCGAAGTACTTTGTGCCGTATGAACACTTGAAAGTTGAAGAACCAAGGTTCTTTTTAAGATGTATCTTCATTAGCCTTTCGATTCGAAAGGCCTCATCATAATAATCTCATTAAAGCCGCTTCTCAGCAGTGTGCCTGTTGTGTTCAAACATGATGAGCTTTTCGTTATTGTGTGTTTCATGAGGCATATTCAGTTGGCTCTGGGATTGGAAGCTCTTTTTACAAAAACGAAGATGCATATTTCCTTTTTTATTTCATAGACACTTACCAGATTTATGTCTTTCAAGGTTGAATTATTTCTTTCAATTTCAGAATTTTCTTGTTCTGTTTCGGCTGTGGAGGTGAAGTTTGTCTTCTGGTTAAAATCCCTCTCATTCACGTTGGTATGCAAGCCATTACCAAAGCCTTCAGATTCCTCACAGTCACCAATTGAACGCAACAGCTTACAAAAATCCCAATATTCTTGTTTTTCTGGGAATTTAAATAATATTGCATCAAGATACTTACATGTCTGTTAACCATACTGTGAGCAGGGGGCTGTTGAAATTTAATTTCCCATAAATGACACCCATGCTAGCGCTTGCATAAACAAACACAAGAACGTTTTAAGTGGCTGCTTGCCTCTCACCACTATGATCCGAGTTCAAGCCTGGCTAAGCCTTTTTAGTGTTCTCTCCCTTGCCACAAAGGTTTTTCTCCAAGTTCTCTGGTTTTCCTTCCCCAGTAAAAATCAAAAGTGTGAGTTGCATGTTGTATCATGTTGTAAAAATAGAATGCACTGTTAATTTGGAGCAACCCTCATGGATGAGCCTGTGCCTGTACATAGAGTGATATTTGTAAAATAGAAGTTTTTTTTAAGGAATTAAAATTAAAAAAGAAATGCAGTTAAAGTATAGGACTTACATTCTCTACTCTCCAGTAGTTTTATTGTAGAGGGGGAGGATTTGTCCAGTCTTGATGCATTTATACCTAAATAAATGGAAACAACCTGTTCTTCTTCCATTTCTTAAGCGGCCCTGAACACAAAAGAAACAGGTATTTTGGATAAGTGTGAGATTCAACTAACAAAAAATTTCCTGAGTTTAAAACACATGAAAAACAAAAAGGATAGATGAACAACTCTTTCTCTCTCTAAGTGCAATGCGGTTGAATTACAATAGGTCCTTTGGGGACTTTTTGGCCAACTCTGAGATCCACTCCCCTTCCCTCATAGTGTGCTGCTTGGGCATCTTAATTCTCTCACACAGCTGTGTAGTTCAAGCCTTGTGTGGTGGTTTAAATGTACAGCATATGTAATTAGAGTTTGCTTGCAGGCAGGCAGGCAGGCAGGCAGGCAGGCAGGCAG